GATTTCGCGTTTGCGATAATCTTAGGTGGAGAATGTTTAGAGCAATGATTTTACTGGATCGTCTTTGTAGGATATTGAAAGTCGATGAGAAGTTGGATTTACTTGGACGACTGAAAATTAGAGCGGTTTGACTGGGAGAGTATATGAATATTTCACACATAAAATTAGAATTAAATATTGAGTCGTTAGTGTACCAAAGAATAACTAGTAATAGCTATCTATCAAACTATTGAACAACCGTCTTCGAAGTGTTATCAAAAGGTAGACTTATATCCGAAGAATTATCGACTGAGACTATTCCAATCATCGACAGCTCGTTTAGAAACAAATGTAGTCCTTCGCAGTTGTTAACGGTTGAAAATAAATCTTTCGTGGTAGCGAGAGTTCCTCCTGCGGGATCGAGTATCCGATATCGTCCCGGGGTAGACTCATTGATTCCATTAATCAGCCCGAAAGGAGGCTGAAACGGGGGGAAAAGAAGAGGAACAACCGGGACGTTCCTTTTTTCGTGCCCCTTTTTTCCCTTCGTTCCTCGGTTTTTTGCTTGGCCAGGGGCGCATCATTCACCGTTCGCGGTGTCAAGAAAAGTATGTTCGAGTTTCATAAAGGAAAGCTGAGAGGCGCGCTACTCTCGACGGGGGGCGCGTATCCGTGCGGTTTGCTCGGGGTGATAATTTGCAAGAGATGGCAGAAATGGATTGGCAAAAGTATGTTCTTCTCGCCGATTGAAAAATCCCCGTTGGCCGGTGGGGGCGCGCGCGGTGTGTTTTATTGGTTTATCTCAGCGATTTCAACCTGTTCCAGGACGGGACCGGGTCTGATTAATGCTGATACGGCCGTGTTCGGTGCGCGATAAAACGATCGAGAAGCCCGAGAAACCGGCCGCCCAATATCGCATTGTTAAACGAACGTAAACGGATTACGGTCCACGCGAAATCAACGCCGGGCTTCACGAAACGCGTCGGGTTCGTTACAGAGAATAAATGTGCGCCGATATTAGCATAACACAAACCGGACTTTGTCAAAATGTAATCGACGCGGAGATCGCCGGCCGCCTAATCTACGGTACTCGACGCGAACTCGCTTTTCTTCCAATTACTCCGCTGTTTTCTCCTAATTGCTAATGGATTCAAAAGTAAAGTGAATAAACGCGAACGTGTGCAAAAACTCGGGGAACTATTTCAGTTCGAGTAGCGCGTGCTCCGTAGATATGTATCGCCGCGAATACAATTAATTTAGCGATCGTATATTATAAAGAATCTCGTCGGACGAGCGTGACGATTCAGATCGACGAAACGAAAGAGTAGCATAATTTCCATTTAATCGCCAGATTTGAATTCCGTTTCTCGCTTCGCCGGGGCTGCCGGAGGAAGACTGTTCCTGTTTCTGCCGATTGTTCCGCAGGCCCGGCGCGGCCCGAACATTTAATAAGGTAATACAAA